ACTTGAAGAAGAAATATTTGCAAGTTAAATTTTGGGGTACAACAAAATCACACAGCCTGAACAACCAACGGATAGGACGCAGAATATTCTCGAAAAATATACGATTCCAAAACGGCTACTCAAGTAAAATATTGTACAAATTTTTGTACCTAATGAATGTCAAATGTCTAAAGCGTACTACTTGAATAAAGTATATTCAAATCAAATTTTGGGGTACAACAAAATCACACAGCCTGAAGAACCGACGGATAGGACACAGAATATTTTCGAAAAATATACGATTCCAAAACGGCTACTCAAGTAAAATATTGTACAAATTCTTGTATCCAGTTAATGTCAAATGTCTAAAGCGTACTACTTAAACAAGGAATATTTGCAAATTAAATTTTGGGGTACAACAAAATCACACAGCCTGAACAACCAACGGATAGCACGCAGAATATTCTCGAAAAAAATATACGATTCCAAAACGGCTACTCAAGTAAAATATTGTACAAATTCTTGTATCCAGTTAATGTCAAATGTCTAAAGCGTACTACTGGAACAAAAAATATTTTCAAATTAGATTTTGGGGTACAACAAAATCACACAGAACAACCAACGAATAGGACGCAGAATATTCTCGAAGAATATACGATTCCAAAACGGCTACTCAAGTAAAATATTGTACAAATTCTTGTATCCAAATGAATGTCAAATGTCTAAAGCTTACTACTTGAACAAGAAATATTTGCAAATTAAATTTTTGGGTACAACAAAATCACACAGCCTGAACAACAGACGGATAGGACACAGAATATTCTCGAAAAATATACTATTCCAAAACGGCTACTCAAGTAAAATATTGTACAAATTCTTGTGTCCAATTAATGTCAAATGTCTAAAGCGTACTACTTGAACAGGAAATAGTTGCAAATTAAATTTTGGGGTACAACAAAATCACCCAAAACACCCCCCCCACCGCACCATAGTTTCACATACTACTACTACTAGTACTACTACTACTACAACTACTACTACATGTACAAGTATATACAAGCTAAATGCATGGTTTAAAATGGCTTACTTTGTTATAAAGGGAATGTTTGTACCAAATGAATGGCCAATGTCTAAAGTGTACTACTTGAACAAGAAATAGTTGCAAATTAAATTTTTGGGTACAACAAAATCACACAGAGCACCCCCCCCACACACACACCGCACCATAGTTTTTCATAATTCTAGTTTAAAAGAGATTTCGCTACTACTACTACTACTACTACTACTACATGTACAAGTAAGTACATACAAGCTAAATGCATGGTTTAGAAGGGCTTACTTTGTTATAAAAGGGGATATGTTTGCCTATGGGTGGTAGCGTCGGCACTTGAATGCCATACTTTAAAGGGGGAGGGGGCAAATACTACACTCGTATCACATACTTCAATTCGTTGGTGGTCGCATTGTTCACTGTAATAGTTCTAACATTTGGGGTGTAAAAGGACAGAATTTGATATTTAGCGTGACATTTTTAAGTAAAAGTCATGGCTAATTGTAATGTCAGTTGTGGTGGACTGAACGTTTAGTCAAGGGCGAAGTATTTAGACGACTTTTCTCCGTTTTTTTAACCATACACATACAGTCACACTGCTACACACTTGCTTTTAGTAGAACACAGAATCATAAGAACATATAATAGTAGTATGAAACAACAAAAACGAACAAATTGTACAAAATTCCACGTAATTCTGCGAGTTCAAATACCTTTATGATGTAACACTGTAAGGCTATACTATGACCTACAAATATAACCTTAAGGTCAACAGTAGAAGAAATTTGTCCGGTCGAACGTTTTGAAGCCTAAAATCATAGCAAAAATCACACTACTATCTTCGCGAAAATATGGTACGTATGTCTTACCCGTGTTTCCAATGGCGGTTATAGAAAACCACGGCGGCAATGCAAGGCGTTGTCGTCTGGAAATATATTTCCTGTCTCGAGTTGGGTGCTAAACCCCGCTCGCTATGTCACCGGCGAAATATCTTCACCGCCCCCGGTCCATAGCTCCTACTTTCCCCGCCTCATTTTTGACGTTTCCCCCTTCTGTATTTCGCTGTGGTGCGGAAATGTACCGTAGTTCTAAATTGGTGGCTTATTTGTATGAAAAGAAAGGAGTGGCCGAGAGGAAATTAAAAAAGGGAGCGGCATGATAAGACAATAACCAAAGGGCGGTCCTGGAGCAACATTCAAACACTTCAACATACCCGCCCTTGGTAGTGACGTCATCACACATCCGGTCACGTCATCACCTGGCAACAGCCAATCAGGGATCAGATAAATGCACTTGAGGGGGTGGCATGATCTTTTTTGTCGGGGGGTTGTCTGAAAATGTTGGTGTACGTGTCTTTGAGAGCGTCAGCTTTCGCTGAATCATACTTGAATGACCTTTTCTTAAAGATCACCTGGTATCTGTGACATCTTATACTGCCCAACGATTTCTTGACTCATAGAGGTACTTGAAAATGCTAGAAAGGGGATGGTACACTGTTCCTTGTTTTTTTTTTTGACAGGGAAAACATTATAAAGAATAAAGGCGTACATTTCATCTTACAATACAACTGTAGTTAGAGTATTAATAAACATTTTCTTCCACTCAAAACGTAATTCAAAACCTACACTTGCAATATCCCCCCGTGATGCACAATGGTTTGCCCCCAGTCTTGATAAATGTTGTCATTTTCTAGCTATTTATTGACATGAGCCGAACGCGCGAGACATGTCCGAAAATATCGTCTGTGTGTAAAAACGGTCGCCACGAACATTCCGACAGAAATAGAGGCAAGAGTCATGTAGCCTAGATGACAGCCTTTTTAGCTTTTATAGTACCCTTTGACAGAGAAGCAACTAGCCTCTATCAGCCTCCTTAGGCTGCTAGAAAAATACAAATTGTAGTAGATATTGGCGAAATAAACTGAATAGCAAACCAGACCAGTTTAGTATGGGACTAGAAGGTTCAATTCGCAGTCACGCCGACATGGTAGAGGCTAGGAAGCTTCGGGAAGTGGCTGGAAAGAGTTAGCCTCTACCAGGCTTTGGGAAGCGGCTTGTAAAGAGTAGAAATTGCCCAAATAGACAGATAACATGCCAGGGGAGCGGCAAACTGTACTCTTTTAATAGCGGACCAACTCTCCCAGCATACTGTCTATTTGACCAACTTCTACTCTTTCCAGCTTGGTAGAGGCAAGACGAGAGTAGATTGGTCTGATATCAATAAAAGAGTTTATCGCACCCCTAAATCAAGATAATCGAATCGCCCGTAATAGCATTTCGAAGTGTCAAATCATCCGAGTATTGTTCAAGCAGATAGGAGGTGTTTTAAAACAAACCACCAAGATCAAACACCTCAGACATCTGCTTGGAGAAAACATCACCCCACAGAGGTTATTTGCGGTCAAGTCATGAACTACACTAGAAGCCTTACTATAAACTTCCAGACTGGTATGTAAGAAATGTGCGGATTGGTGGAGGTCGACGACCCAATACTAGCTAGGTACTTGTGGGGTCGAGCAGTCTGAAACGCGTCCATTGATTGGTTGAGAAGGTACGTAAGTTTTACTGAATTTGTGCAACTTTTAGAACAGAATAAAGTCAATAAACATACCTTATTTCACTTCTTAATTTTACACACAGCCTCTGTAGTACATACACATGTTAACTATCTCTTCTAATATATAAACTCAAAGATTTTGGAATATTTTGGACATACGAAATAAAATTAACTGACAGCGTTGAAGAATTTGTAGCAGCGCCGACTAGAGTTTCATTTTCATACTGCAGGTAAACGGCGAGGCGAAACTGCAAAGTCATTGTTCTAGGACCTTCTAGACTAATAGAATGTAGCCTTATATAGATGAGACTTGCCAAGCCAATACATTTCAGATAATGAGGCACATTATGCCGCACATATGTGCGAACTAATACAACTGGTGTGGTCGTAGAATTTCTTGAAGTAAACTCAGGAATGAGAATTTCTTTCCTGCATTACCTTGAAAGCTTTTCTTAAATTTTAAGGCATCAAATGCGATTTCAGGGCAGCATCTTTGGGATATTGACACATACTGATACAAATTAGCACATTTCAATCAGCATTTCATATTTTGGGCATTTACTGCGGAAACAAGCCCCAATATGAGAGATCATATGAGTCTTTTATTTTCTGGGTGGTACCCTAAAAATCAGCCCGTCAGATTTTTGGGAATTTTTGCTCCACGAGGGTCAATATACATTGACACAGTGTGGTTTCAATTTACTATATAGATACTCATCATCATCATAATAAATGAGCAGAATATTGCCGCTTTGAAAAATCGGGTTTCCAAGTGCTAAAAACTGCATTGGATGGGCTATAAAGTGAAATATATGTTAGTTATATCACCATATGTGAAAATTATTTTCCTGCACATCTTTAAGTAAACTTTAAACTAGTAATTAAAACTTACCTGTAGTCAGTGCCACCAGTCAACACGTACAGCACAACAAATCCCAGACACTTTTTCTGTCTCAATTTTGGGAGAAAATTAGCGTCAAATTCGCCTGCCAAATTCACTTCCTTGTTCAAGTTCCAGGAAACACACCGGATATCTCATATAACGGCTCCCCACTCGTCACTGGCTAGCTCGTTTCCTTTCCTGTGGGAGTCTTTATACTGACCCCTAAAAACATAATAGACTCTTCCTGCTATCGACCAACTGTGCAAACAATGGACTAATCTATTCACGTAATAGGGGGAAATTATACTTTTTAGAAATAACTGCAATTCAAAACAATTATTCGTCGTTTTATGACATTCTTACTCGTTGCATAATACACAAATAACTTTAAATTTTATTTTCAATTTTATTGACATTTATTAACTTATACTAAAACATAGGTTACCTATATGAGAAGTGACATGACCCAATCTATATCCGGGGCCTTGGGAAATCCCTTACGTCACCGGAAGTAGGTAAGTGCTTGCGTCATTAGGTAATCCCGTCTTCGTAGTAGGTAATTGCTGTGGCCCTTTGTTGTTGCGTGTCCACGATACCGCCAGCGTCACGTCAAGCGTTTTCTGCTCAACAAAGCTTATTGTTCCTTTGTGTAGGCAACAAACTGGCTAAGGCTTAGCTGTAGAAGAGTTGGGTGACGATATTCACATAAAAAAGGTAAGAAAAATCTCGAATTTCTGCTAATTTTGGGGGCTATTTTATAATAGTATTTTATACTGTCCGATGTTTTGTGTGGTTTCGTAGCTTAAAATTATGTTCTGGTTTCTAGTTTCTACGTGAAACAAAAACCTTAGGTCTCATGTTAACCCTACCGATATATTCTGTGGGAAAATTATGGTCGGGGCATATCATTTTGATGCTACATTTTTGTATGTTTATTTTAGCATTACGTGCTGACTCACACATACACAAGGCAAACATAATATTTGCATTTTGAAAATTATTTACAGACCAAAATGTATCAGTCCCAGGGCTTTATAACACAACGGGTATACAGCGTTAACAATTATTCCTCATTTCAAAAACAAGATGTTTTACACCATTTTTAGTCCATCAGGCGGATTTACGTACACAGATGTTTAGTAGAATTTGAATATTTTTAGCTCGGGTGTACTTGAAAACCGGATGTGCGCGGCAGGCATTCGAGCGGTCCCTTTGTTATTCGAACGCTGTTGTTTTTGTACCGGCTAGATATTTTTGGACTCTGACATATCCCTTTGCATATTTGTTTAGTCATTTAGAGCAGAAAAACAACACTCGTTTGATCTAACGATCATATTTTTTAATTGATACAGTTATTCTAGTGGCTAACTATCCGTAAAATTTCTAATATTTATTTATGACATGGTTAATACGTGGCAAGGGATTTTTATGACAATTCTTTTAAATAGCAGACGTGCAGACTTTAAACTAAATGCTTGCCCTGATATTTGACCAAATTACAGTATTTTTACAAAAAGTATGTGTAAAATAAACTCATGCCCTAGTATTTACATGTACATAGTCCACGACTACAGTCTTACAGGTCTTTTATCCTCTAAATTCTAAAATTGCTACTTTTATGCATTTTAAAAGCCAGGAAGGTCGACATGACCCTGGTTAGAACAGAACGTGTTATTTTGTGATTAAGATATTTTTCTGTCCACTTTCTTTAAATCCGTTTGACGTCAAACACATTTTTTGCTCTTAAAATAGTCTGTTTTGGGGATTTGGAATCCGACCAAAAACTAATTCGCCAGGGAATGTGTATTTAGGCAGACAAAGAAATGGTCAGGACCCAAAAGAACAAAGGATTTAGCCAGACTTTGAGTTACATTTAACAAAGAAAATAGTGTAGACGCTAGACAACGTTATAACAAAGGAAAACTCGTCTGGTAGTGCACAATGGACTTATTGATAACACACAATGGATAAAGGACTGGAGAAACGATAGTTCAGGGAATAATTACCATAAACATCTGGACTGTAAAAAAAATGATGCAATACTGACCATCTGTGAAACGTGTGAATATGCATTACGTAATGTAAAATGTGGGAAATTGCTGCATTTGTGCAAAACGTTACTTGTACTTTCACAGTTTCAGATATTGTAAACGTAGTATAGTCCCTGGATAATTTGATGGTCACTTTAGCAATTTCTTCAACCTCCATGCTTCAACTAATGATTTTCGGATGATTACCCTTAACTCAGATTTAAAAAAAAAATGAAAGCTTTCTTTATTTACTTTTTAGCACATTATTAAAAACAGATTTATACTTGGTGGCAACTTCAAAGTTAAGACTATTCAATCTGACTAAAGTTAACTGAAAACCTTTCTCATTTTACAGAGTACATTAATCAAATTTGAATAGTACAGCCCTGATTATGCAGAAAGTATGTGAAAATCTTTTTTTTTTCAGCAAACTGAAAGGATTATTATTCCATAACCAAATTTAGCATGAACTGAAAACTGATGTTATGGTCCCAAAGGTCCAGTATGACTCATAATCCAGTCACCTTCCTATCCCATAATAGTCTGTACACGTCACCCCACGAAAAACCCATTGTCGTGTTCTTCTTCGCATTGTCAAGTCCAATGTCTATTGATTGAGGTAAAAGATGTAAAGTCACAGTTGACTCATAACCAAGCAGATGAGTGGGGTACACAAGAGTTTACACAAGTGTGAGACTGATGAAAAAAAATGAAAGCCAGAAAGTTATGATGGCCCTCCCCACATCTGCTTGAAGATTAATCAAATAAGTGCCAATAGCCAATTGGCACATAATAGCTGCCTGGCCTGTGTCCCAATGAATGTTTCTCCTCAAAATACCTGAATAAAGCTCACACCTGGATTTTGGTAGTCTCAGTACCAGACTCCTTTGCAGGCTGAATAAATAGTAGAAATCAGACTAAAATTTAATTAGAATGTAGCTGGCCAGGGGAGTTGGCCTGGCCAGAAACAGTCCAGTTTGCAAATGGATCCTCTCTGGCCGGCGAACTCCTCTGGGCAATTAAATCACTTTTTAGGCCAATTTATGACTCATTCAACCTGCAAAGGAGTCTGGTGGAGACTAGAACTTTGGCCTTGATTCAGAGTTGAAATATGAAAAAGTGTTAGCCCGGGTGCCATCCGATTTGTAACGGTTTTTCGCCACACACTTTTTTAGCTTGGGTGCCATCCGATTTGTAATGGCTACCCCGATTCGGGGTAGCCATTACAAATCGGATGGCACCCAGGCTAAAAAAGTGTGTCCTTTATTAGAAGAAATACGGTAATGAATTCTTAACAACGTTCGTATCCTAACGATTTTTGAATAATAGCTTATACCTTATAACGTGTTAACGTAACTTTTTTCCACAGTGTGGAGAGAGGGTCGTACAAGATGCGTCAGCTGGACCTGACACGTTTTGACCTGATTGACCTTGACACGTCAGAGTGCGACATCTGTCACCAAGTCACCAGAGAGGAGCTGGTTCACTGCCAGGCCTGTCTGGAAAACTCTCTAAGCACGATGGAGAAAATGCCTCATACAAACTCAAGGTAAGACAAAGTACTGATCTCTTAGCCTGGTTACAGCTCCCAAGTCCTACATCCTATTTGCGGAGAGGATTTTTTGTAGGACTCAGGAGCTATAATAGGTTTGGTAACCAAGCTACTGATCTCTAGCCTCTACCAGGCGTTCTGGAAGTGGCTGGAAAGAGTAGGAATTGGCCAGAAAGACAGATAACATGCCAGAGGAGTTGGTCCGCTAGAGAGTGGCAAAATGTACTCTCTAGCAGACCAACTACCCTGGCATCCTATTAGTCTATTTGGCCAATTTCTACTCTTTCAAGCCACTTCCCGAAGCCTGGTACAGTCTAACTTATCTCCAAATATAGGCTAAGTCTCACCAGGTGACCATATGAGTGAGTCTCTTTTGTATTTGCAAAGAGGAGAAAAGAGACTCAGGCCGCTAAAATGGTTTTGAATACATGTACCAGGCTACATCTTTTAGGTGGTGCAGTGTCATATTTCACTATATATACAATGTAACAGGAAAACACTATTATTATACCAACAGAAAGGCGGACATTGCACAATATTGCAACAATCAGAGAGATATACATCCAGACAGTATACACCGCTTGAATACTTAATGAAGAGCAACAAAATGGTACACTTAGTCCAAACGATGCTTGAATGTCCTTAAATGCCATTTGCTGGGCTTACGCAAAAGGCCTGATATCTATGACACACGAAAAATGTCACTGACAGGCTACGCAAAAGACCTGATAGGTATCACACCTGAAAATGTCACTGATTGTATTGATAAGGTTGCGAAAGGATAATTTCACAAAGACACGACAATGCAAAATGGACCCCACCCAGTAGCCTGACAAAATCACGCTCCTAGCGGCTCTCTTGACTGACTTAGCCCTCTGGCAGCCAGAGATGGCAAGTACAGGCCACCTGTGCCTGTTACATGTATAATGTTCAAAGTTTTAATCTCCATAGTTTATTGCAAAACAGTTCCAAGCTAGTTTTACAATGTAGATGCAATTTTTAAAAAATTTACCTGTGCTCCTTACCAAAGTCATTAGTGCCGAGCTAAATTGTTTTCGCTCTAACTCCTTGAAAACAAAAGGCTTTAAGTCGCTATCTGTAATTACATTTTCTACTATTTAACCCCGCCCTTTTTGACCTTTCAATCGGAACCGGCAACCTTTTCGGGCGGTCTGTGATCACACGTGTCGCTAATGCGTCACTCTGACTTAAAAGACGGCATTTCACTGTAACCACTCACCTGTGCAAAAGGTCGGCAGCATATAATTATAGGTCAAACCTGCATTCGAATGGGTGTAGCTGCAAGCTAAACTTTCAGGTGAGCATTTTCTTCAGTTAGATGTCAAATTTTAGGCTTCAAAACCCTTTTTTATGGTTTAGAAATTAATTTCGTGACTGCATATAACTTTGTTAAGTAATGGGGTAGCTTCTTTGTGCTGTTGCAGTCCTTTTAAGAAAGTTAAACTGGTGGAATCTTGTCTTGTGAGGGCCACACCCTATTAAAACGCCGGCAAAAACTTAACTCATAGACAAAAACAGGGGTTACTGTATAAAATTTTTTGTGAGAAGCGAAACACATGTACTATCCGAGTTCTAGACTTAAAGGCAAGCATTACCCAATCATATTTAAGATTTGATTCTTATTTTAATTTCACAATTTGCAAGATACATAATCTCACAGTCATGTGATACCCTAGATACTAGTAATGCCAAATCCCTGTATATAAAAATCAAGAAATTGCCTTATGATCAAGAATGATTTCTTAGGATACACTATAACTAGCCCCCAAAATATGATGTTATCAAGTCATAGCCTACTCTCAAATCTAAACACCTGGTCAGGATATTTAAAGTGTGCCTACCTCAGGTATTTAGTAGATATCTTTAAAATCACATGCTCCTTTTTGATAAATCAGTCGTAGGGTATTCAACGGAATTCTGAAAGATGACATTATACAGACTGTAGTCATAATGTGTAGTATTCATTGTGATTTTCTGTACCGGGTATGACCAGGTACCATACAAATCCAGTCCATACAATTAATTACACCCAGTGAATCATACCTAGCTGTAGAGTTGTTTGACCTTACACGCCCGAGGGTTGTTTTCACACCAGCCCCTTCTGTCAAACGATGGCCAAGATGTCACGTGTATTTCCACGCTCCAGTTTGCAGACATTGATATTAATAAACATATTATAATAATAGCTTGATGTCCAGTCTATTGTGGGTAGGGTGGGTTCTCTGTGGGACTGGTTGCCACCCAACTCAACTAGGCCCCCCATTCCCATGGGAGTTGAATTAGTCCGGTAACACGCCTGACCATGTTAGTTAATGGCCTAAGACCCAAAAAGTTACAGTCCTACTATATATGATCCAGGGTTTTTTCTAGAAATATTAATAGCATGAGGGAGCAGATTGCAAGCATGACAAGGAACAAAGCGACCAAGGGGGGATTTTTTAATAAGAGTAGCCACTTAGGGTTCAATCTGAAAATTGGTATGAGGGAGCTGGCTGGTTACATGAGGGAGCAGCTCCCTTATTCCCTTGTTTAGAAAAAACCCTGTGATCAGCACCTGGTGTACAAAACTCTATTACAAAGAAGCAATTTGAAAGTTTCTACACTGGCATAACACTCCCACCGGGTGGCCTGTTTGAGCCTCGAAGATAGCCTGCCCCAACCACGACAGACTGGAAACCAGACTAACAATAAAACTGGTAATAGTTGTAGAAAACTGGAGAATTACAATAATCTTGATAACCAATACAGCCTCCTCAACCATTCTTTATTAAATACTTGGCTATTTCACTGCTAAGCTGGGAGCCATTCTTATTTAGTTTACCTACTAAGTATTTAGTTTCCCTGACATATTTAAAAGGGCAATGCATTTAATGGGTGTTGTTGAAAAAGTACAGCGAACAGTGGAAAAAGTAGTGCAGGCTTATAACAATCTCCAGCTGCCTTCACCCTTTTAAAACTGGACAATAAGTCGCTCTGATGTAAGAGACGACAACTTACAGTGACAGATCACCTGTGTGAAAGGTCACAGCATGTAATTATAGGTCACACCTCATTCAGAAGGGTGTAGCTGCAAGCTAAAACTTCAGGTGAGCGATTTTTGTAAGATTTCATATTTCAAGCTTCAAAACTCACAAAGTTTCGAGGCTCCACCCTAACATAGTTGGAGTTGATTTTAGCTGATTTCTTCCAATTCTTACAGTAGTTTTTCTTTAAAAGAAAGTTAATTTTGGGAACCTTAAGAGGACCACAGGTGAACGATTTTTGTAAGATTTCACAGCTTCAAAACTCACAAAGATTTTCTTTTATAAGTTTCGAGGCTCCACCCTAACATACTAGTAGTTGGAGTTGATTTTAGCTGATTTCTTACAATGGTTGTAGTTTTTCTTTAAAAGAAAGTTAATTTTGGGAACCTAACGAGGACCACACCCTTGGGTATTGTTAAAACACCCAGCAACCAAACTCACAAGTATATTATATAAAGCTCTGGGGTAGCATGTTGTGTTTGCAGCTGCTTTTAGTGAATTGAATAATCTGGAACTACAAATTTAGTATTTACAATTCACAATCATCAATGTCATTTCAGTGACTTTTATGCTGATCCTCAGAAAATTAAAAATACTTCAAATCCATTTCTAATAAGAAAAAATTGCCCCGTGTTTGTATTTTGTGATTGTTCACTATCTGGACAGGTGTAACTATGTTATAGATTTAGATGTCGTTTTGTGACTCTGTCGACTATGTATGTATATATGTACTGTATGTATACCAATGTATGTATACAATGTATATGTATGTAAGAATGAATGCCAGGGTCCACCGCTAATGGTTATTCAAATAAAGTTTCAAAGTATCAATGGTAAAGATCCAGCCGGTGTGTACCAATGAATAGCCATACTGTCGTTATCTTACAAGCCCCAGGGTGTGTTCACATCATTCTTTCTCAGAAAGGTCCTTATAATTATACAAGTTATAGCCATCACATGGATTCCCATGCTGCAAGGTCCTGGTTTCTACTAAGGCTAAACTGTATAGGTTTTGTTAAAAAGGAACTTTTGGAGCAATGACGGGGCTGCAATAGCCAAGTTGTCACCACTGACTATATTCTCATGCTCCAGTAATGCGACCACTAGGCTAATCCGCTGTTTGGTTGTTGCTAAAAAGAGAAAAGGGCAACAAACAATACAAAAAGTAGGGCAGAAATAATGACCCCTTCAGAAGCTTCGAAAATGTGCAATTAGCCAGTTCTCAGTAACCCTCAGATTGGCTGTGGAGGCTGTGATTGGTGCAGCGTTCTTCACAAGCTAAGAGACACTCGATGAAGCTAGACGTGTAAGTTGGAGCTCCCCTTGTGAAATGGTTGTCGAGACTTGCAAGATATCTGAAACACTGTAAATGTTGATCGTAACGTTCTGCAAAATGTGCAACCTTTTAATTGTTGCATCTGCTTTCTTTTCAGAGGCCACAAGGATTGCTTTGACAGGTGGCACGATATTTTGCGACGCTCGACGCCCAGCCCACAACGATCCCCCATGCCGAAAGCCATCGCTCCCTGCCTGGAACAACATTCCACCTATTCCGAAGTCAAAGACTTTGTGAGCACGACGCTTCGATGGTTCAGAAACGACGCGCAGAAGCCAACAGACATCATGATGCAGAGCCAACGAAACCGTGTACACCAGAACATCACCCTGCCAAGATACTGCAACAAACGCATGGACACGAGAAACAAGTTCTACGCCCAGCTGCAGGGAGTACCCGTGTACAAAGAAAATACTCTCCTGAACTTAGTCAAGAAGAAGGAAACACCAAGACCACAGTTTTACATCGACTCAGATTCAGAAGAAGAGGAGAGAAGAGAGATCTACGAAGAGTTGCGTAGAAGCAGTTGCTCGTCATCCGAAGACGAAGAAGACCTGTGTGTGTATGAAAAAGTCATGGTACCGAAGAGAGCTTCGAGAACAGAGAGCAAGTCATCGGGGCCACTAGATTTCTGCATACAGCTGCCAATAACAAAGGAACAATGTAAGTTTGCCCAGCGCTTTCAAAATCATTGGACATGTAATTTGTGTAAAGCAGTAGATTAAACTATAACTTGATATTATTTTGTACTACCGGTTCAAAGTTCATCTGAGCTGGTGGCCCGAGTGCGGTAGACACGTGGGAAAAACTCACGTGTCTACAGCACTCGGGTCAGAAAGCTTAGGTCACGGCTGAGTGATTCGGTTGAAAATTCCGTCGAGTTAATTTTCTTGAGTTGGAGAGCAGTTTAATTCTCATTTTGTACTACCTGGTAATTGAACTAAACTAAAACTCTTAAACTTAAGATACTAGGTAAGCTTAGTAACCAGTAATGTTAGCCTTATTTATAATATGCAGGGCCTACACAGACCACCTTCTCGGCTCTATATAGGGCCAACATGCCCCCAAGGAAATGTTTACCAGAGCCCCACTGAGTCACAGGTAGTCCCTAAAAGTGGGTGAGCTGTGACTGTGATAGAATTTCCTTGGGGGCATGTTGGCTGTACAGCCCAGGAGCTGGCCTGTGTAGTCCCTGCACTGAAAAAGTCAGGTACTGTATCCACCTGGGACTAGGTAATGTAGGAGTAGTGACATTTAAAAAGTATCTTGTGAATTATCATCTATTTGAGGTTTTAACCAGTTTTTTTTTTACTTTGTTCACAGTGTTCAACCTGAATGCTGAGCAGTTGGAAGCCTGTGTCGCCTTCTTGAGAATGAGAATAGATGGTGAGTTAAAAGTGAATCATACTTGATCAATACAACTTAATATACATAGAAGCTGTACTTTGCCTGAAATATGGACGAAGTTACTTTGAATATCTTATATGGCATTAACTTGGACAAATTAAGGTGGCTTGATGTTTAGCAACAACAAACGTTAAAGTTTAAAACATAGCACTTGGTGAATTGTAAGCTATAACTGTCTGACGAAAAATGTCTTGTTTTTTCGATACAGATACATCCGCTGACCTGGTCTCTACCCTACAAGAACGTGATTGGACGGTCAACCAGATCTCAGTGAAGCACACGGTCATCTACCAGCTGCACAAGGCCCAGGACCGCATGCCTCACCTGCGCCCAGACTCCCCTAACAGTCGCCTCATCCCAGCTGTCAATCAATCAAGCCAACCGACCAATCACAGCGTGTTTAGATCTGAGAGACTCATGAACACCAAGGCATAGAATGAGTCAAAAGCTTTTGGAATGTCAAATGCCAAAATTAGCCATTTGTGAAACTAACACTGTAAAAAATATGGTAGGAAGTTATATAAAAATATGCTTATGAAACTTGAAAAATCAAAGGGACCAGTTAAATTTCATATTTGATGAGTAAAAATATTTTCTGTACATGTTAGGCGTAGATTTCACGTTCACTTTGACCGTAGTATTTCAACCATCATAATACGCAAAATGAGTAAGACTGTATTTCAGTTAAATACATTGCACTTATGGAATATGACTGGGTTATTTTATTTCTATCTAAATACTGCACATTAGGAATTGTAAATTGAACTTAATAGCTTAGTTGTGAGAACTTGTGACTAATTGTGTCTCTCCATTTTAACCTGAAACTGGAATCACTGCCTGAAGTTTTTGTCAAACTTCGATCCCAGAAGTTGTAATTTTGTAAATATCAAGTTACAATAAGAAAGATTATTGACTAACATAATATATTTTGGGATATTGAACATCTATGGTTGGAGTCTCACAGCTGTAATACATGGGATCCTGACAAAAACACATTTAAACATTATGTTACTACATATATCGCTGGTGATATGTGACTAACATGTTCTGTATCTAAAACCTTTATCCAAATGCAATATCCAAGAAGATATGTTGTTTTGGCTCCAATGTTTGACAATACCACTTAAAAAGAGCCACTAAAATATTAAGATTCTACTTCGAAGACTAATGCTAAAATTGTATCCTTATGTTGTTCGAAGTTGGAAAGTATTGTTAACGCTTGCTTGTTCACCAAATGAATATCACTAACGGTTCATTCATTGTGATACTTGGCTCGTCTTCAATAAAGTTCTTTGAAGTTAACTTTGAGTCGTATTGTGTTGTAGATAAGATTTTAGATAGGGCAGGTTGAAACTTTTAGCATGCTAATGAAGCATTTTGCACAAAATTTGTGCTAGTTGTGGGTTTGTGTAGCAGGGAGACAGTTAGATACTTTTTCTCCTGGCCACGAGAATTAAGAATCCTGCCCACAGTGACCACCTGTCTGATCATAGACCAGATTTTATCAGTCTCAAGTAGTGCTGCATACCTAAACCCACATTAGGTACAGGTCCGGATTCAAGTCCAGAGGTTTAGGTTCAGTTCTGGACTTGTAAGTCCGTACCTAAACCCATGGCATATACAAAATTGAATGTTGGCAACCTTGCAATGTTGTCTGGGTGAAACATTGGCCACGTAACATGGAGGCCGGTACTTGACGATGCCCGATGGCAATGTTTTCTTCGTTTTGCAGCAAAGATTTTACAATCTTCAGAAGGTTTTAGGTGGTTTGGAAAGAAAAGGGGTATGTGAAATGGTCTTTTATGGTAATAAGTCCAGACTCGGTTCTTGACTTTTATGTTTTTTTGGACTTGAACCTTAACATTCTTACAAGTCCGGATCCAAGTCCAGTGAACCGGTATGCAGCACTAGTCTCAAGTGGTCTTCTCAATCACAATTTGACCACTTGTGTACCAGTCTTTCCACTACTCTTCCTTTAAGTTAGGAATGCTCAGTGACAAGTACCCCTGGGCCCTGCATGCTTTGCTATTGTTTATCTATCAGTATGACCTATTGTTCTATTCCTTGACATTTTGGAAGGGTATAATTATTATTGAGACCAAGGATGGTTTAAATCTTAGGTCACCATGACCTAAGTGCAGAGGCATACAAGTATATCTGTCCACTAGTCAGAAATAAAAAGTATCTTTAGGCCACACCAATTTAATTTCTTGGTTAACGGATTTTTCTAGAAAAATAATGGAGCTGGCGGGCTAAACAAAAATAAAAACAGGCCTAGGCATCCTATTATGGCCCAAAATGGTACAATAGGAGCCATGAAGTCAACACACCAGGCTGGTTCAAAATATAAACAATGAATTTTGAACTTTTAATGATACCACTGCATTGAAAGATGGAATAACTGTAACAACTAGGATGAAAACGACTGTTTTCAACTGTTCAGGGCAAAATATGAGCATTTTGCAGTTGATTCTGAATTTATTTTTATTTGCAAATCAGAAAAAAATTAAGCGGGCAAATCCGTTAACCAAGAAATTAAATTGGTGTGGCCTTATCTGTATTCTGCATAACACACCAGCTTCGCAGGCACGTGGCACGGCAGCAGCTGGCTATATTACACTGAACGACTTGTTACACCTAACCTTTAGACATCTAACTCTAAACATTGTTCAAAGCTACTGTATCATGACAATGCCCCTACTGTACTTGATGACAGTAAGTTCCACTCTGCAATTAGTTCTAAGTCTTTCTTAGAAATGTTCAGTGACAGGTACCCCTGGGCCCTGCATGCTTAAGCTATTGTATTATCTAATAGTAACAGTACAACCTATAGTTCTTCAGTTCTTGACATTTTAGAAGGGTCTAATTATTATAAAGACCAAGGACGGTGTAAATCTTAGGTCACCGTGACCTGAAGTGCAGAGTCATACAGGGCTTGAAATCCTTTTTTTCTGCACCGGTGCAGGTAACATTAATAATAAAACATTTACCTACACTAGACAAATTTTACCAAGCCTGGGTACCATTTTCCGTAGTTCTTGTGACAGTGGGGATCTGGCAATAACTGCAGAGGACGGCACCCAGGCTAGATTTTACCTGCTCCACTCAAAATTTAGGAAGTGATCACATTAAAAACTATTCAGAAACAACTGCCATTATTCCTTTAACACTTCATAGGTGGTAGCAGCCATATAGCTAAAAAAAGTTCACATTTACACGTACATTTTGTATTTAAATCCATATACACGGGCAGGTGAAATACCTGCACAATTCAATTTTACCTGCATATTGAACCAGTATTTCGAGCCCTCTGATGTGTTGACAAGGTCGTTCAGTACTCGGATTAAAGGGACACTCTAGTTAAAGGGACAATCTAGTCACCAAACTCAGTACTGGGATTTGGAAGGTAGATATACTGTACATAGTATAACATTTCTGGAAAAGAAGTCTAATACTGTATATTACTCTAAACTTAGCCCTAGGAAAAAAAATGTTGTGTTTCCTGTTTCAGTTCTCAAAAAAAATTAGGGTCAGTAGGTAGGGATTACTATTAAGTATCTTTTTTTTTCTTCATTTAGACTTTGGCAACGTATCTCTACTGATCCAAAAACAGTTGAACATTTAAGTAAAACTTGCATGAGGACACTAATATTTTCAATGTCAAAGTTGGAAAATTGATTGTAGTCAACATTTCATAACTTCGGTATTAGATCATGGAGCTAGAAAAGGTAAGTCAGGTGGAAAAATTTATGTCTCTTGCAGGGGTCCGCACACAAAAAAAGGCTAGGGTCAGCATTTTTTTCTAAGGTCGGTCGGGAAACTGGAAAGACGACATTTTTTTCCTAGGCCTTATCAAGAAGCCTGATGTAGTGAGCCGATCTATCAACATTAATTGTTTAAGTGACCCAACCAGTAACATGCAAATTAGAGGAATTCGGAACCTTTCAGGATTCGAACCCTTAACCACTGGTTCACACTATTTTTAGACCTGTGGGCAAACAAAAAACATTCAGCCAAGACTTGCTATCACGGTAGAGATATACCCGAGTTTTGGATAAAAGGATCTGAAAATTCATATTACCGATTTCTCAAAGTTTTCAGAAGTGCACAGTTTATTACATAATAATTATATCATTTTACATCAATTACATCTTAATATGAGAATGTAAGACTCGAAATAACACATTTTTACAATGTAATAACATTGGAGAGTGTAGACCAGGGAATTGCAGGACTGGTGCTTTCTTGTTAGTAACTTTTAATTAGCACAATTAAATTCTACCCCCAAAACACAACACTGTGATTCTCAACAGTTACTGCATAATGTTATGAAATCATTCTGGCAATTAAGGCAAGTAATATTTGCCAACCATTCTTAACGGTTTTAACAGTTACATTTGAAAATTTGTTGTTTTTAACGTCAATGTTTAATTGTTTTTGGTGGAATCATCTTCCTATAACCTTAATAGACAACAAGTTTCACATATGCATGGCTCTCATATGTTGTAAGTTTGGCATCAATTGTAAAATTACATGACTGTATTGTTTATTTGCTAATCTGAGACTATTTTTTTCTTAAGAATTTTTCTCAATGGCATAGTTGACATGCATATGATAGGTAACTGATAAAATTGTACTGTCATGCTCTGATTGGTTCACCTTAGGTGACCTGCGCTCTGATTGGCTAGCATAGTCCACTTTTGGATGGGAGGAAGATGAACTGAAATATGCTGTATTTGCTCCCAAGCAAATGTTGGCCTTTCTAGTTCTTAGGAATTTTTCTCAATGGCTTAGTTGACATGATAGGTAACTGATAAAATTGTAGTTATATTTTACATTTGAAAATATCTTTAACTAGAATTTTTGCTTTTCCAGAAGTCAGTTCTATAAGTTATGAAATTATAGCTTGGATACCATCCTCCTTAGGTTGACTCCTACAATGGATTTTAACCTAGATGAGGATGACACCCAGGCTAAGAAAATAAATGGCTGCCATCTTAAAATCAGTGTTCTTAACAACTGTCTTTGACCCTTTAATAACAATTTTTTTCCACAGACTTGGCTTTCAGATGCGAATCCCTTTCATATCTTTCATATGTTAAGTACTTTGTACAAGCTGACTATTTTACAAGTTATAGACATATCATTTCACACAGCAATATACACTGCAAGAGTCCAGATACTGGAATGTTTGAAACTTTTTGATGATATGCAATTTTGAAAACCTTTTCTTTTCAAAGTTTCCTATCAAATTGAATCTTTCTTTGGCAGTATGTCATCGTATGTGTGTGCAAAAATTTCAGTGTGGCAAATAGAAACATGATCATGGAGCAGTAAACTTGAAAACTGTGAAAAACTACGTGTGACCAAAGTAAATGAATCATTCGCACTAAATGCTTGTAACTGGGTACATGTGTAAAATACGCTCAATCTGGTACTAGTATCTTTTCCACGTCCTTTTTTTGGCAAAATGTGTCATACTTTTAAAACCGATGCCTTTGTTTCATGTTAAATGCTAATCGCACTATGAATATCTGTTAGTTCTTTGGGATCACATTATTACGTCACAGTTTGTTTACCTGTTCTAAAGAACATTCTAGAACGGTCAGTCAAAGAATAAAGATCATTTGAAAGTTTTCAAAGTCAGGTATGTTTTGATTTTTGCTGCGTCTAGTTTTGTTGACACAGCATTACATGCTGTAAAGGGTGATTTAGTTGTGACATTAGACGAATGTAGTACTGTATTTAAAAAAAAGCTTTATATTAAGGCTAACGCTACACAAACACACACCGCGCTACGCACCCCTGTACAATATAAATGTCAATTGACCGGCATTCATTGCGGTAAACAAACTGTGACGTAATAATGTGATAGGTCCATTAAGATTGGGTATTAGGGTTTCTTTTCATACCATGGGTATAGACTCTCACTTGCTTATGTTTTGCTGTGTTATGATCAGACACCTTCCTCAGAAGTTTTGACTGAAGTCACTGCTTCTAACTGCTGTATATGTAGCCAATTATTTTTTAAAAATTCTTGCCACAAAAGTGCCACCTTGGCTACATATAGCAGCGAGAAACAGAACTCCAGTCAGAAGCTCTGAGGAGGATGTCTGATACACACCAAAACATAACTAGGTTCGAGTCTATACCAGTTGCTCAAAAAAGAAAAATATCCAACCAGATGAAACTGTTTAGTTCTGATATTATACAGACAGTTATAGGTTAGACTGTGCAGTTATGATAAATGTTTAATACTCCGTTTGTGAAAATATACCTAACAGTGACTTTACAACATCAAATCCATTAAAAGTTCCGCAATGGACCAACGCCTTGTGAGTTTCACGTGATTTCGTAACCTAGCTATGCGCCGCTATCTTCGCGCGCCACGTCTTGGATCTCTACCGTTCCCGTGATGCGAAACGTTACCGCCATTGTTCGAGGGACGCGATCCGTTGCCCGGTGGACCAGGATATCGTTGTCCGTAGCCTCCCATTCCCGGTCCGGGCATTCGCGATCCGTTGGAATATCCGCCCGCTGGCTGCGAGTTACCGTTTCCTGGTACTTTGGAAGAAAAATAATTAGATCAACAATAAGTAAAATCGAAACTTCGAGGACAACAGTTACTAAATATGTAGCACTACCTATTAAATGCACAAATGCTTATTGGCAATCAGAATTACCCAGTCCAAAATTGTTTTTAAACTAATTGAGAGGCTTTTAATTACCTGGATATCCTGATTGGTTGAAGTTTGGTGCAGAGCCACTGTTTCCTGGCCCTTGATTGGCTGGTGGTCCTGGAAGCTGATTGGCTAGATTTCCCCCTCCCTGTTCTCCCTGAAAAAAATTGTCATATGCAAAACAGTTGATGTTGTTGGGTTGTTAGTCAATTAAGAACTGTGGGTAATTGGTACGTCGATGAAGGTTAGACATCCAGGTAATACGATATGCCAAAAAACAGTTACTCAAGCAACTGGATATGATTTTGAAAACGTCAGCCCCGAGGACAGACAACACTTAAGCTCCTGTCCTGTATAACAGGAGCTTTCAGACTAATTTGCATCATCTTGTCTTGACTTGTCTGACTTTTGTTCCTTTTTCGACTTCCAAAAAGTTGTCTTCACTTTATTTGCATATCAATCAACAGGTTGTGTATATAAACCTGCTTTCCCCTCTGGTCTCTCAGTCACTGACGAAAGCTAGTGGATACTAGCTGAAACGTCTGACGTTTTCAAAATCATATCCAGTTGCTTGAGTAACTGTTTTTTGGCATGTGGGTAATTGCATTCAATGACATTGTAGCTCGAGTTAGATTTTTGAACTACTTTACAAGTGCCGTTGTCCCTGGCATAAATTGCACTGCGAATTTTTTTGTCTCAGACCTAGTGATGCATACCTAAACCCAATTTTAGATTCAGGTCCGGATTCAAGTCCAGAGTTCAGTTCCGGACTTGTACGTCCAGACCTAAACCCATGGCATATACAAAATTGCATGTTGGCAACCTTGCAATGTCTTGGTGAAACTTTCACAGGCCACATAACATGGAGGCCGGTACTAGTACTTGACGATGCCCGATGGCAATGTTTTCTTCATTTTGCACCAAAGATTTTACAATCTACGGAAGGTTTTAGGTGGTTTGGAAAGAAAAGGGGTATGTGAAATGGTCTTTTATGGTAATAAGTCGGGACTCGGCTCTTGACTTTTATTTTTTATTTTGGACTTGAACCTAAGCAGTCTTACAAGTCCAGTGAACCGGTATGCAGCGCTACAGTAGACCTGTACCTAAATTTATTTACTGGTATGTACCTGTAGCTAAGTATACGCAGCACTAGTTATTGACACTAACCTTATTTTGCTGCATGTATTCTGGGTTTGGGTCACTCATGTTTGGAGCCTCTGAAAATACCATACAGAACCTGGAAGGTGTGGAGTACAAAATACTGTCATTTATTTGTCCACTTAAAGAAATGTTACAATCTTTTGCAAAACATATATGCATATAACGGTTACTAGTACATGTGCCTTGGTCTAGTCCAACAAACCACTGTTTTCCTCCTACAAAAGCAAACAACTAAAAGGCCAACATTTGCTTCGGAGCAAATGTAATATTTCACTCCATCTCTCTCCCCCAAAAAATAGAACCACTAAATTCCAGGTCATTTGGCCCAAAAATGAAGGAGTTGAATCAATTTAAAGAAATGGCAGGAGAAGAAGGAGGAGGAGGAGGAGAAGAAGAAACATTAGGAAAAACAATATTTATAAAAAATGATGAAATAATGATTCTAATTTCATTATAGTATATGTAACATAATATTAGAATGATAATTGACACAACTTGTAAATAAGTTCAAACTTTTTGACTTACTCTCCAATTTTTCTGAGATCCCCAACTCTGCCGGTATACAGGGTAAGACAACCTTTCCACACAGAGGCATATCTGCAAAAAAAAATGTTATAAGCAATAAATGATAATTATTATATACTAAAAGTTATTTAACGTTATATATCATGATCTGGAACTATGTACTTTTACATGCATTATTCAGAAAATATGACAGTTTGTAAATTTTGCTACTTCTTCTGTGAACCATAATTACAGTCTAACAGTTTGTATAACTTTTCTCATGAATGTGATTGGTTGAACCAAGTCATGTGACAGTATAACTTTTCTCTTGAATGTGATTGGTTGTACAAAGTCATGTGACATAGTATAACTTTTCTCTTGAATGTGATTGGTTGAACAATCATGTGACATAGTATAACTTTTCTCTTGAATGTGATTGGTTAAAAAAAGTCATGTGCCTTATATTCTTGAATGTGATTGGTTGGACGAAGTCATGTGACCTACCCTTTGCTGAGCTTGATGATGTCACCAGACTGAAGCAACTCGCCGACTTCGTCCCAGACGGAAATGTTGATGGAGCCGGTTTTGTCCGCGACTTTACACGAGCGAACCTCGTGTCCATCTTTCGTTTGGGTTGGGCGACCTAGAAAGTAGAAAATTGAATTTGCAAACTAGAGAAGTAACATTTGCAAAGCAAATGCATAATGTTTACCTTCGGACATGGTCTGCTCTGTTAATTCTTACTCAAACACATTCACATACATGTACTACTGGTACTAGTATATGGTGATAGGAGCAGAGCAGACCATGAAATTGCAACATTATGTAACCCAACACCAGTCACCATGGTGACAGACGTCAACAAATCATGCCATTGGTCAGGTCAGAGGTTACTGTTTGGAACAGAAGAGGAAGAAACTGAGTAAAAAGAATATGTTTTCCTTTGGTAAACATAAATAAGCCAATGTTATTTCAATCTCCAAGCAGATGTTAGGGTGGCAGTAAATATTTTGGAAGTGCAGCAGTCTCGATTTTATTTAATTCCAAAATGGTATTTTCTTTTTTACTTAACCTTTTATGCAAATCACCACATAAAGCAATCATATTTTACGAGGACATCCTACAAGAATGATAGAAGGTCCATGGATTTTACAAATTTCAACATTTTTTTTAAAACCCAAGCATCACATATTCATCTGTAATATTCTTACCAGAACTAGTAACTAATTGAACTAACTGATTTCAGCTCATTTCTATGTTATCATATTACCCTGATATAATATATTATACAAACCATTATTCCCTCAAATAAAACGTAACTACCATATAAATCGAGCAAATCGGTAGTCCTCGCACCCCCATTCCATTGGTGGTATCGTCTACATTCTTTGCATGACCTCAGAGAACTACGCTGTTCTATCTAATATTCCCACCCCTCACAAATCGTTGACATTACACGTTTTCTTACTTGCCGATTAAAAATGAACCATACAATTTGTACACAACATACAATTTTTTTGTAAAATGAAAGACGAACTATATCAAAAATTCTCCACAAAAGGCTTATTAACACAAGAATCACTCACCGGCATACAACAAAAATGATACAAGACTGATACATGGAACAGCCAAAAGATGGCGACTTGCCTTTGGCACATGCCATCTACCTTAAGGGGAGAGACCTGGCCATTTGTTAGGGGGAAATCTTTCTCAGACCCTTGTTCATAAATCTTTTAGTATACCTATCTTAGACACTTATTTTTAACACACTTAAGATAGTTTACAGTGCCTTGGAAATAAAATTTGAAAATCTCCAAACAGATTAAAATTATTTTCACCCCTATCATGGACGGGTCCTATTTCCTGGGCCTCCTGGAAAAATACCCACCTATGTCTAGGACGATAAATATCGCGTTCAGGTTCTTTAGTCCCGGCTTGATGTCTTTTATATAATAGAAGGTTTCAGTAGACATCTTTATCTATCATACATAAGGCTAATTTCACCCCAGTATTAGATTTACATTGTAGAAAAGGCGTGTAAAATGAAGCCTCCCTGGCGAAATTCTTTCGGGTTTCGGCCAAAAGTTTGCTCTAAATCTCGATATCCCTTTACCCCCTTAGTCGTGAAACCTTCCTAGAATGTGGAAGAGGACGTGGGCTGTGCAGTTATCGGGTGAAAACGGAGAAGTTTTGTTCCCGCGGTTTGCACAACTCAGTTCCTTTCCCAAAATCTTTGTCCTGCGTGACAAGGAATGAATTGCTGATTCATCTACTGCGCACGTGTACTGCGCAGACGTTTGTGACTAACAGCGCCACCTAGTGACCTTGAAGAATAACAAGTTTATGATGAATTTCAATATAATAATCATTTTTATGGGTGGAAAGACATAGAGACAAGAACTTTCTTGGCATAGGTAATAAAAATTGAGCATTTGGTGATAATTCAGCTGATTCCATAACAGGAATGGGGCCTACAATCATTTTCTTTTTTGATTAAAAAAGCTGTGAATTTGACGAGATATATCAAATTCGTGTGTCATAAATAAACAAATGAAGCAAATCGTTAACTTTTTCATGATGAAATGTGTGCATTACAAACATTTTTTGTATGCAAAATCAGTCTAAAAACCTGCGCTTTACATTTAGACCGCTAGAGGCGCTTTTGAGCCGTCCAACTGGTAAGGTCTCGCGTGAGGTGGCGAGATCTAACGTGTTAAATTACAAATTGTTTTTACTGCCAGGCCGTGGTGTCTGCTGTAAAATTCTGCAGTTTAGCTGGACCAAAACGTCTTAAAGATGTCGGAAAAGGACGGGGATCTTGGCAGACCGACGGAGGACGGGCTGCCCTCGCCCATAGACTATCCAGCAGCCGAGGGGACCGCAGAAATGGTCGCTACTCCGGAGGCAGATGCCGCAGGTAGGACGCCCCCTCCCACTTTTGCAGTGTACACAGTGAAGACCTTAAATAATTTACAGCAGTGACTAAGAAGTATAATCATGTTATTTGTTATATACTCTCATCTGCCGAATAAACATACCCCCCGGAATAAACGTACCCCCTGGACAAATCTTCAAAATCAAAATTATAAACATACCCCCGGAATAAACGTACCCCCCGGAAAATTACCAAAATTGACGGGTAACCTGTGTCTCTTGTACTAAAATGCGCCCTTACTGATATGCACAAATCTTTAACTGTTATTTGCAATTAGGAATTTAAATAGACAAAAAAAAGAGCATTTAATATTTCGTATTTTGATAAGCACCACCCATAACAATAGAACTGATTGCGGTGATTGCAAAAACCGGCTAGAAAATGACAAGTTTCTCGCTACAATACGCGTTTATAAACGTCTTCACGTCGATGATTTGTCAATTTTTTTCACACGAAGTTGAAAAAAATTACTGGTTTTTAAAAAATTAATAAACGTACTGTGCAAAATAAGAACGTACTGGGTGGATGTTCGGGCCCAAAAAAATAAACGTACCCGTATGTTTATTCGGCAGATGAGAGTATTCTTTTCACGGGCCTATATAGTGCTACATGTCTGAAAATATATAGGACATCCATGCTAATTGACCTAGAAGATTTGATAGGTTTTTAAATACATGTATTTTGAATCGTAGAATGCCGTATACAAACAAAGAAAGCAGTGATGACCCCATACCTTTAACTAGACTACGTAACTTGTGACCTTCCAGCCCTATAGACAAAATTAGTGCTCAGCTTTACAATTTGTGAATAAACATTAAATACATGTAGGTGTGGGTTGTAACAAATATTAGCAAACCACAAACACACACACACTGACAGATATGCTGACAGACATCACAGACAGACAAATACATACAGTGTCACACATGTATATGTCACAGACTCACAGTAGAGATGCAAATCCAGTAGAGTTGGCAACTAGAGATTCCAATTGGCATCTCTACTAGTAGAGTTGCCAACTGTACTAGTAGAGATGGGAATCCTAGTATTTATACTACTGAGTTCCAATCTCTACTAGTAGAGTTGGGAACTCTACTAGTAGAGATGGGAATTCCAGTCTCTACTAGTAGTAGAGATGGGAATTCTGGTGTTTTTACTCCAATATCTACTAGGAGTGTTCCAGATTCTCTTACCAGACATTGGAATTCTAATCTTTTATAGGACAAATGGGAATTCTTTGAGTTAGACCAGGATATTCTCCAATTCTAGCAAGGAACAATTTTTTTTAAATAGACTGAACACCTTAAGTTTCAAATTTATCATATTATAAGGTAAGCCTACATTCACAATTACTATAAATTTAGTTAATTAAATTGCTTCATATTTCAGATATCAAATTGTGCTTCTATCAAATTATACACATTTCAACCATTAGCACAGCCAACAGGACAGGATGATTTCTTGCAGTAGAGAATCTTCTTGGAGCCGATTTCGTGAAACTTGAAGTTCTTGGTAGCCCAGAACTTGAAGAACTTGAAGAACTTGAACACACCGACAAGCAAACTGAAAACTCCATTGGGAAAAATGCATGACTTCTACACATACACACAGTAGCATGAACCCCTAGCCTGATTTCTTTAGTCTGCAAAATTGCTGGTTGCTTAATTTCTCTTCTGCAATATTGACAATGTCTCTGCAAAATGTAGCCTGCAGATGGGTATTTCTAACATTGTTATAGTTAATCTAAAGATTTGTTTGTTTGTTTGTTTATCACAGATTCAGAAAACCTGATCACAGGTCCGCGTATGCTGAGCCTGATGTCCACGTCCAGTACTCCTGACAATGAGCAGGCACCGCTGAAGAACTACACAGGACAGGACCCCCCCTTCACCTGCAGCCCCAGTCAGGGACTTACCATTATCATCACGGGGTGGGTCAGCATGGCTGTCGTCATCACAGTCGCTCTCATCATACAGATATATGTCGGACCTCCTCAGGTAAGAGATTCTTGGTGTAGTAATATAGATTTGTTTTTGGCGATACCCCAGGGGTGGAGGCATTTTTCAGTATTAAAGTCCCAGTCAGGGACTTACCATTATCATCACGGGGTGGGTCAGCATGGCTGTCGTCATCACGGTCGCTCTCATCATACAGATATATGTGGGACCTCCACAGGTCAGTCATTGTTCTACTGCAACTTCTACATGTATTTTCTTTATAACTGGTATAACACACCAGCATTGCAGGCTTGTCACACCTTTAACCTAAAATGCATATCTAGCAGTGTAATCATTGTTTAAAACTATATAACAAGCGAAGATATCCCTACAACTATGGTGGACATACCAACTACTAAGTACCTAATACCAGCCCAGAAAAGAACAAGAAATAGCCATGCCTTCAACTACCAGAGTTATCAGCCAAGGATTGAGGTGTTCAAGAATTCATTCTTTCCTAGAACTATTGCAGAGTGGAACTCACTGTCACCAAGTACAGTAGGGGCATTATCATTAGATAGCTTTAAACAATGTTTAGAGTAAGATGTTGAAGGGTTAGGTGTAACAGGTCGTTCAGTGTAATGTAGCCAGCTGCCGCCGCGCCGCATGCCTGTGAAGCTGGTGTGTTATGCTGAAGGGTAACCTCAGATACAGATACAGAAGTACTATACCTGGTGGCAAGGATTTCCACAATAGTTCTAAGAAAAACACTCTTGATGCTTAGGTATAAAATTTACGTTTTCGTAGAGTGAAATATCCTGCAGTTGCTCACAACTGCTTCCAACAAACCTCTTTTATTTGCACCTTTGTTGATTTGTTTATTGTTTGTTTGTTATAGGTTGTCCCCCATGGCGCGGTGGTGTCAGACGCAGCGCTCTGTTCCGACATCGGGACAGACGTACTGAAGAACAAGGGTTCTGCCGTGGATGCCGCCATCGCGACTGTTCTGTGTCATGGGGTCGTCAATCCACAAGTCTCAGGGATTGGAGGGTAGGTCCTTTCATTTGAAATGTGTCCAGAGGGAGCTAAGCTAGGTCACGGGAATAGGAGAGTTTCCCGTGCGGGAACTGTGCCACGGAGGGGGAGAAATTCCCGCTTACGGGAATCTCTCCACCTAGCAGTACCGAGTCCCGTACGGGAACTTCACCACTCAGGGCTACCACGGAGGTGGAGAATTTCCCACTTACGGGAATCTCTCCACCTAGAAAGACTAAGTCCCGTACGGGAACTTCACCACTCAGGGCTGACCGTGCGCGCGTGTGTTTTGGGGCCGATATACGGACGGGAATGTCACCATATTACACGAACGGGAATTAGCTCCATTTTAGTCGACATTTCGCGTACGGGAAATTCACCAGCAGTGACAAATAATGTCCGTCCGCGGACGCCGTACGGGAACTTCACGGCCGACGTACGGGAACTTCACCACATTACACAAACGGGAATTGGACCATTTAGTTGTACTACAGGTGCAACCAATTTTCGATTGAACCGCCTGGAATCAAAACAACGCCCCTAGCCTGGTTTGAAGCAAAATTCTAAAAACGTCGAGTGATCGACGTAATCACGAGTGCGTCTTCTATGGACATCTTTGTGCTGTAATAATAGTCTTGAAACTCGGTAGAACACACACACACACACATAAAAAGCCTGTTATACTACGGTACAAAAAAAAATGTCCGAAGAAGACAATTACGAGTAAGTGCTGTGCTGTGCATGGACAGTGCTATTGATAGCGTAGTTGATAACGGCCGGTTGATAACGACAACCGGATCCTCGACAACGAACACAAAATGTTCGTCCTCAAATTAAAACATAATGATGTGTGTCAACCTCACGCTATATAAATGACTTAGCGAGCGGCTTAGACTTTACGGCTATTCCCGTATTCTTATACATGCTAGTACTCAGGACGCTAGTACTAGAACCGGGGTAGAAAAATATGGCGGACATAAACAAAACGACGCTATCCCGTCATGCATTATAATGACGCTAGAGTGTTACGGTTGTAGCAAAATAAAAACCATGTTCGGTATTTTAGATTCAATGCCTGCGAATGTGTTGTGGGTACGTTGCCATTTGCTCATATTTTCCTTGAAATATATACATTTCAAGCAAGCTGAGGCTAGGGGTTTCTTAATCATACCGTTTGCGTTTCGAGTTTTGCTAGTCTTGGTACGCGTACTTTGTTGCGTACTTTGTTCTGTAGCGCTGATTTCCTTTTGCCAGGACGTTATAGCCTCGTTGGAATAACAATTTTTTTTTTGGTACCGATAAAAGACCGTAAGTTTAGTCTTGCTGATATCCGGCTCCTGAACAGTAAACACAAATCATGCATCCTCACAACGTGCCCAGGCCAACCTGTTTACAATGCAATGATGTATCAACAGTTATTTTCATACTTGTCCGGCCGGGACGCTGTAAAGATGGCGACCATAAGCAAAATGACGCTATCCCGTCATGCGTTATAGTATATCAGCTTGGCGCGAGACCCGAGTGTTACAGTAGTAGTCTATACGACTTTGGTGATTTATATAACGAAATCAGACAGCTTTAATTTCTACATGTATTCCAGATTTAGGTAGTGTAAGGCAAAAGCTTGTCATCCTTGTTTTTATTTTCAGATTCAAATCGTCAGGATCAAGGTTAAGACCGTGTTGGGTAACAGCGTTCGCCGAATAATTTTTTAAAATCTGTTTTTCATTTACGTTGGTTTCTAGTTATAACGTTTGCTTTTTTCAGTTTTGTTTCACTTTTGACTTATCTGTGTCGTTGATTTNAGCTAAGCTAGGTCACGGGAATAGGAGAGTTTCCCGTGCGGGAACTGTGCCACGTAGGGGGTGAAATTCCCGCTTACGGGAATCTCTCCACCTAGCAGTGCCGAGTCCCGTACGGGAACTTCACCACTCAGGGCTGCCACGGAGGTGGAGAATTTCCCACTTACGGGAATCTCTCCACCTAGAAAGACTAAGTCCCGTACGGGAACTTCACCACTCAGGGCTGACCGTGCGCGCGCGTTTTGGGGCCGATATACGGACGGGAATGTCACCATATTACACGAACGGGAATTGGACCATTTTAGTCGACATTTCGCGTACGGGAAATTCACCAGCAGTGACAAATAATGTCCGTCCGCGGACGCCGTACGGGAACATCACGGCCGATATACAGACGGGAACTTCACCACATTACACAAACGGGAATTGGACCATTTAGTTGTACTACAGGTGCAACCAATTTTCGATTGAACCGCCTGGAATCAAAACAACGCCCCTAGCCTGGTTTGAAGCAAAGTTCTAAAAACGTCGAGTGATCGACGTAATCACGAGTGCGTCTTCTCTGGACATCTTTGTGCTGTAATAATAGTCTTGAAACTCGGTAGAACACACACACACATAAAAAGCCTGTTATACTACGGTACAACAACAAAAAATGTCCGAAGAAGACAATTACGAGTAAATGCTGTGCTGTACATGGACAGTGCTGCTGATAGCGTAGTTGATAACGGCCGGTTGATAACGACAACCGGCTCCTCGACAACGAACACAAAATGTTCGTCCTCAAATTAAAACATAATGATGTGTGTCAACCTCACGCTATATAAATGACTTAGCGAGCGGCTTAGACTTTACGGCTATTCCCCTATTCTCATACATGCTAGTACTCAGGACGCTAGTACTAGTACCGGGGTAGAAAAATATGGCGGACATTAACAAAACGACGCTATCCCGTCATGCATTATAATGACGCTAGAGTGTTACGGTTGTAGCAAAAATAAAAACCATGTTCGGTATTTCAGATTCAATGCCTGCGAATGTGTTGTGGGTACGTTGCCATTTACTCATATTTTCCTTGAAATATATACATTTCAAGCAAGCTGAGGCTAGGGGTTTCTTAATCATACCGTTTGCGTTTCGAGTTTTGTTAGTCTTCGTACGCGTACTTTGTTGCGTACTTTGTTCTGTAGCGCTGATTTCCTTTTGCCAGGACGTTATAGCCTCGTTGGAATAACGATTTTTTTTGGTACCGATAAAAGACCGTAAGTTTAGTCTTGCTGATATCCGGCGCCTGAACAGTAAACACAAATCATGCATCCTCACAACGTGCCCAGGCCCAACCTGTTTACAATGCAATGATGTATCAACAGTTATTTTCATACTTGTCCGGCCGGGACGCTGAAAAGATGGCGATCATAAACAAAATGACGCTATCCCGTCATGCATTATAGTATATCAGCTTGGCGCGAGACCCGAGTGTTACAGTAGTAGTCTATACGACTTTGGTGATTTATATAACGAAATCAGACAGCTTTAATTTCTATTTCAGATTTAGGTAGTGTAAGGCAAAAGCTTAGCTTGTCATTCTTGTTTTCATTTTCAGATTCAAATCGTCAGGATCAAGGTTAAGACCGTGTTGGGTAACACCGTTCGCCGAAAAATTTTTTAAAATCTGTTTTTCATTTACGTTGGTTTCTAGTTATAACGTTTGCTTTTTTCAGTTTTGTTCCACTTTTGACTTATCTGTGTCGTTGATTTCCTTTTTGCTACAACGTTCATGTTCCTCATCAGTTTACTAACATCCGATTTTAAAAGTAACAGTTACCAACTAACAGTCCATCAAAACTTTCAGACAAGTTAGGTTCAATCTAAGATAAAATTACTGAGTATGTTACTCTAAGTGATTACACATGATACTATATATCCGTGTTCGGTAGTTATTTTTTTTTTCAATTTTGATGAATTTTACAGACTTACGAGCCGAAAGATTTGCGGCGGTGGGGACGCCAGGTTTCCCCGCCAATTTCACAACACCGGATGCAGTGTCAAGTTGGATATTATAGCGATTTCTTCGTGGCTTCAACAAATGCTTAATAGAACCTGCATAATCACATATATGTATTTATGTTTTAAAATGGTTGCAGTCGTAGATACTAGTAGTGATGTTATATGTTGTTGTTATACGGGAACAAACATGGCCGCAGTTGAACTTCTATTGTTCTGCCGAAACAACTGATGCTATACCGCCATGCATTGCGAACCATATTCAAGGCTGTTGGACCGGATTTACAGTTTCTATACGATTTCTTGAGCCGTCGGACACCCTAAGGTAAGGCCGGAGTGCTACAATTCCGCTAAGAGAAGTATGGCGAAAATCTCATATCGATGAACAAAGATTTCCAGTCGTCTTCCCATAGAATTTTGGGCATATTGTTAGTTGCCTCTTCAAAATTTATGGGGTAGACACTGTAGTATTTAAAATGTAAATTTTGACCCTGAAAATATAGTTTTACACTTTTTCAACGGAGTTGCTTTTTTTAACCCTTATTTAATCTTGAAAAAGTACAGTATGTAACAGTACACCTCTTCGGCCTGAGCCGCTTTTCAAGAGTTCAAGGGGAGGTGGGTCAGGCCGGGGTCTAATGCTTCGGTTCAGTTAGAATAATCAGTCAGAAATACAATATAAATGCATACAATACAAGTTCATACAAAATTCAAACATTATTTCGATTCATATCTTATTGCTATCAGTATCGACATCCAAGTTTCATTTCACAAATTAAAGTCATTCTAAGTGACTCGACGCAGTCGGTTTTTAAAAGCTGCAACTGATGTGGGGTCCTTCCAGCCCAGTCGATTCCGTACTTCAGCCGACTGCGTTCTGTGCGGGGCTCCCGGCAGCAGCTTCTCAGCTCTGTTCTGCATCCGTTGCAGTTTTTGTAGATCTTGCTCTGGTGCAGTGTCCCTAACAGTGCTTGCGTAGTTTACGTTATATATGGTCAAAAAATACTGCTGTACAAGGTGATGTCATTTCAAGTTAGTTTGGAAACAGATACATCGCTAAAAGGATGAGAAACAAACAAAACCGAATATGATCACTCATGAGTTCTACGAATGAATAAAAGTCTTGCAGTAGAAATTGCAAAATTGAACGTCCTTTGCACTTCTAGGCTTTGTTTATAATCTGGCACCCAAAAACAGAACGCGCTACAGACAT